TGAAATGGTCGGTTTCATAAAGTGGAACACGGCAAGCTTTGTCATTGACTGAACATGAAATAGCTGACTTTGATCCAAGATGTGCTGCTGCATGAGGTCAGAGGTGCTACAGTGTGCCAAAAATATCTTGTACAAGAACATACCAAGTCACTGTTACCATCACCACTGGTCTTGAGTGACTTTGCAAGATGAAGTTTACATGTCTATGGAGACCGGAACGATGGACATCTTTACGAGGAATATAGTCTGTCACAAACAGTCGTTATTACAGAGACTGCACCAAAAGGATCCAAGATATGTGTGATGGGATGATTGAATCATGCCAGGGTTGAATAAGGTCGGAAATGACTGGAAGCCCACCAACATGCATGGCAGAGACCATGATCCACACTGTCTTGGAATTTCCATGGGACAGGCCTCGGGCACAGCTGAAGAGTGAGTTGGAGCTGGGAGAAAGGGAGTCGCTGAGGGCACATTGCAGGATCCATCCTAAATCAATTTCAGGACATCGAAGAAAAGTCAGAACAAGTGTATACCAGGGCCGTCCATCACACATGGCTTCCTGACCATCATTACATCCCTAAAGTCAAGCAGGTGCCGTGAAATCCCAGATGCCATATCTCTGCAGATCTCTGTGCATGCACGAGAAAGTCATGAATGGTCTAATATGCAGATAAGCACAAGAGTGGAAAGAGAGCAGGCATATACCCAGGACAACCGAGACTCAAGAGAAACCACAATGGGCAGATGACAAGTTGGAGAGTTGGATGATGGGCCAAACTCAGGCTGGATATAGTTCAAAAAGTCGACGAAAACCTAGGAAAATGTACATACCAGGTCCGATGTCAAGGAAGTCCAGGCAGGAAATGTTGAGAGTGTGATGTACATAAGATAGGTCATCTCCACATGCTTTGCTGTTGCTGATGCATCCTCCTGAAAGGAATCATTGTCACTGTGGTCGTGGTCAATCTAGAAGAGCAAATATCAAATTTACATCCAGTTCGGCATTCTGGAGTCTCAGGCCAGGGTGAAGCTCTCTTAGTTTTCCATTCGGTTTAAAAGAAAACCATTGAAGATCTCGCAAAATAGACACTTTCTTCTGTAGTTCGCTGCACCTCGAGCAGCAAGCTCTAGTTTGGTTTGGTTATCTGCAGAGGCCCCCCTATCACCCAGTTCATGTACCATATGCCTCTCCCAAGCCTAACATTGTCTTCTTTATCATTATCATTGGATATCATGTAGTGAAGCCTCTGAGTATGTTAGACACCAGTGTGGCTGGTTCTCCTTCAATTAATGCTGATATCAGTGTAGGCATAGCAAGAACTTGCCTTTTCAGCTTGCATCAGATGATTACCTATGATCCTCTTCAAAACTATCATAGATCACTATACAGGCAGTCGGTCTCATTATCAGAGTGAATGCTCCTCACATGGCAGGGAAAGATGTTGGCTCAATAGGTACTAGATGGCATAGTCTCATGCAACGTCAGTGAAAGCAGCATTGGAAACTATGAAATCTTAACCTTTTCCACAATGTCCAGCCCCTGTTATTTATGATCAAGCACTGAATATTAATGCTGAGGAGCTAAACATGAGAGGTGAGCACAGTGTGAGCAACTCCCCTAGGCTTACTTACCATCCGCAACTTGTAAGCTCCTATCTGAACACATGCTGAGATGATAGGGTTTGCAGAGAATGGTGCTACTCACAGCAGATGATGGCACATGCAGCCTGTCCTTGAAAGAGAAGAGTCGGCAGGTATAAGAGTTCAATGAAATTTTGTCATAAGTGATGTCACACCCATAAACTCATCATCATGGGTAAGCGATGAAAGTTCATTTATCAGAACCAGGCATTGTAAGAGCCCTATTCGAATGTGACAGAACAAAGGTGACACAGAATGTAGGTACTAAAATGGTATATATATATATTAGGGAAGTAGGAGAAACGTAGGGTAAATGCACGTACCAAGCAAGACGGAGGAGAAAGATTATTTCAGAGAGAATGGCTTCACAACCAAAGTGAGAAGCATTTCGTGAAATGAGCATATAGCGCGAAATAGGAAGAAGAGTAGCGAGCAAGAATCTTGGTGCTCTATATCCCTAGAATGGCAGCTGTAGCCCAAGGGCAGTATGAGCAGTTTGACCAGGGCAATTGAAAGAGCTTGTGCACTGAAACAGCAGTTGCTGTGGTTCAAGGTACAGAATGTCACTCTGCAGGGAAAATATGAAGAAATCTTGTATTGACATCATTATTGATGGGAGTACAGTTGTCTAGCTGCTTGATATCTGTAGATAAACAGAGCTGTATGACTGTGATACGAACATGAGAATTCAGCATGCATACAAAGATTCAGATACGCACCACATCAAAATAAGATAGCATATATGCATCCATTTCGACAGTAATTTATGCTGGAGGCCTAGAATATATCAATGTGCAACTTTCCGAGGTTATGTCTGTTGGCGAAGGGTTTACCATGACGTGAGGAAGGTCCAGACAGTGCCTATATTCATCAGAGGTAGTACAAATTCTGCTAGTATTGAGTGCCTAAAGCTAAGAAGGAGAACGGCTTAGGAATACCCTCCAAATGAATTCAAAGTGCACACACCTGGCTCGCAAACGTTCCATGGCTACTGGTAATATGAGGATTGGAGTTAGCGGTGTCATGAAATTTTGGTTCTAACAAACATGCAAAGCTACCCCTGAGCCCATGCTAGAATCTGAACTCCAAAGGCACATTATCAAAAGCCCTTCTGGAGAGACTATCCTTGAGCACAGGTAGAGGAGGTCTGCAGGCAGAGAAAGGTTGCTTTTAGTAGAGAGATGGATGTTCAAAATGGGTGACATCACAGACACATAGTAGGAGTATGGGGTGATACCTAAGAGATACTTGGATAGGGGTATACTCAGTGGGCAAGTCAGAACTAGGCAGCACTTGATAATTTCCTCATAGCCATTCCAAAATGGAGTAAACACTGGAAAATCAGAACAGCTGCAGTGCATTGTGTCAGAAATCACTATCCAAATATCAAATTGTCATTGGTTTCATGAACAATGTTCAGCTATAACAAATGCCTTGTTTTGAACTAAGATCACATTCTGATTGTAGAATGAGCCTCCAGTCAAGTCATACCATGTAGACACAGTATGTACATCCCATTCTCTCCCTCCTTTATAAAAGAAAATCATTCAGGAATGGAAATTCAGTGTTATTCACCCTCTGACCATCAATGCTGTGAGACCGATATCATGATATTTCTCAATGTCCTCAAGGGGGCTCTGGAAAATCAACTACACACATGACCTACATTAATTTGTTTAAGGCCAGCTGGACCCCCCTCTCCCTCTCTCACTTTCCTTTTACAGTAATGGATTCCTATGATTTACCATCCCTGTCTATGGAATACAAGACTGACCTGCTCCAGTTATATCAATACCCAGTATTTGCACATATTTGTTTTTACTATATAAGGTAGTATGACCCCAGAGACATTCCCTGCCACATATAAGGCAAGTGAATATTCATTATAGGTGATTTGAAATGGATCTGGTTTACTATGTATTTTTATGTACATAGGTCTAAAAGTGAAATTCATATTATTTTCACAAATGATGAGATTCCAAAAATAAAAATAAATCCTTTCAGTCTTGATTTGAGCCTCGCAAATAGCACATTGTGTCAAAGGTTGCTTACCCTTGGCATATGATACTCTGATACCAGTTGTCCACATTTTGGTATGGAAGGTTAGCTTAATTAACCATGCATTTTGCTCAATGAAGAACCAGTAAATACAGATAAGCTAGTTCACCTAGGCTACGGTAGATAATGCCTGGGTGTGGGGTATGGCTGAGTAGGACACTCAAATACTAATGTATTTGAGTGGTTTGTCGAAAGACAAGGGCATTTCAAAGCCATGAGTTTGGGTAAGCTTCAGGAAGGAGCAGACCAACCTGAATACAGGTTGATTTGTCAGCTGAGGATGCAGTCCAATGAAAAGGGAACCCAAATGAAGTGGCAGGCCCAAGTTTTGAGTGCCTGGGAACCAGAAAACAAGCCAGAAGCTGAATCTAGTACACCAAACACTGTAGGGAGTAGGTGGGTGAGACGAGAGAACAGTGAAAAGGCCATATGCTGGCCAGAGAAAGCTTGCGAGATGATGTGGAAGGAGGGAACAACTTTCACTGAGTTGAATCCCCAAATAATAGTATTATTTGGCTACATATCAAGCCAAGGGCTACACCTTGGCTTATCTTATCCTCCGATAAGCCTTGCACTCATACCTCGCACCAGGCTTATCTTGGAAAAATGCATGTAAAAAGAACTGCCTGAACTTTGACAACATCAAGCTTGATGGCACAGCCACATCAATGCTGACAAAGCCATGTCATTGAGCTTGATGGGACAATCTGTAAGTACCAACTTGGGAGCTCATCAAGCTGGATGACACTCGTACATCAGGAATATGTTTGAGAAAAAGATCATCTGGACAGCAATAGTTATGATTCATGCAGGCATTATTAAGCCTGAAAGTCCTCATATTCACCAAACCCACAATCTTTCCACTGGAGGGCAGGACAGGTCTCACCCAATTCTTGCAAATCTGGTGGGTGTGCCCAGATTGTAGATATGAAAGGTACAAAGATATTGACCTATCCCTATGTATGAAAAAGCACTGAACTTCATGTTACAGCTTCCTCCAGGTTACTGTCATTACACCAATCCAGAGAATTCGCGGAGGCAAAAAAAATCATGTAACAGAGTCAACCATTACATGTATGGAATTGAACCCACCATCTGTCATTTGCAAGATGTCAGAGAATCACTCCAATCCACAAACTGAGCAGAAAGAATCAAGAATAAACTGCAATGTCCACAACACCTATTGAATAAATACACTACATTGTGCAGATGAAATCCCCAAAATACAGCAATGCAAACTCGAGGACATATCAATTTAGATTCAATAAAAATTAAAAGAATCGTTCAACAGACACCTCTGCATCAAGAGGGAATCAAACCCCCAGTGAGTCAATAAGGGCATGATCTGCTACTTCTCCACAAAAACAACCCAGGTTCCCACTACCCCATTGATGCACACATTTTTGACTGGATGAGCAGAGCTATAGGGGGATACTCCCTTGTTAATGCCTACCCTCCTCTTGCAACCCTTGGTGTGGCCTTCCATGCCTCCTGCTTAGCACCTTATGTGTGCTGGCTTTCCCTTCTGAGAACTTGCACCACACACTGCAAAAGACAGATGATACAAGAAGTGTGCACCATCTATCTTCCTGCTACCAGAGCCTCAGCCTAGTTCCTTTCCTAGTATTCAATTCCTCTCATGACTTTAAGCCTGCGAGCTTTCCTACTTCCATGGGGCCAATCTGTAACCCATGAGGTTGCTTATTTGAGGATGTTCAGTTCCCAGCAATCCAGTGATATGCATGTTGCATGTTTACCCTTAGATTTTGCAATTTTGTATGAGATATATACATATCAGAATCTATATCTACTTGAGTACAAGAGCTATTGCTGAGACTTCGAGCAGATAGCTAAGATCCTGTGCAATGAGAGAATATATAGAGTTGAAATACAGGACTTAGGAACAGTACCTTGAAGGATTGAACCTACCAGCCTGAATATTCAACCTGTAATCGGTTTAAACAGGCGAATATATGCCATAACGTCCCACTCATGCATGATCTACTGAAACCAGAAGTATCTAGTCCCTTAATATGGTTGACTAGCCCCCAGAAGACATGAATAGTTCCCTAATGTGACGATGAAGTCCCCAATGTGGTGGACCAGTCTCAACAGAAGGGAATATTCTCCTAATGCGATTGAATAGCTGTGATTAGTTGCCTATGGTTTGCAGAATATTCTGAGGCAGTTCAAGCTCTAGAAAGAATAGACAGAAAAGCATGCAAAGATTCACATTCAGAAGCGAATATTCTCCCTAACATGGTGGAATATTTCCCCTCAGATTGAAGATACAAAGTGACTCGCCATTACTATTGCTTGATAGTGACTTTGGACCTGTAGATATTCTGCAGATGAGCCGCATTCCAGAAGAATAGCCATGAGGCTCACATCAGTGATCGGGATATCAATTATTAATTGATCGGTCAGGAACATTCCCCTGGTTGCAGCTGTGGCCAGTTGCCTAGATATAGAAGATAATGATGGATCACCCATTGCATGGTGTGGTAGCCTGGGCTGAGGGTGAATTAACTGGTAACCAGGCTAGCTACCTTGGTAACACCGGAACATTCCATAGTCCAGCAAAGAATGATAGAATATTCTGGCTCCAACAGCCATGGAGACAGTATCTAGATTGTCTGGACCGATGAAACCCTCAACCCAGTAGTATATGCTCTAGACCCAGTCAGATATTAGCTTATACAGTATGACTAAATATCCGTGGTAGATCGGACTATGTACAGTATATAAAGGCCTCCTAGATGTAATATACAGGAGGCAACACCCTCCCCATGATTTGACCTTATAAGCGCAGTAGCTTGGGTGATTCAAGGGCTTTGGAGTGGAACCTCAGAGTTATAGAATAGTTGTTAAGTCCAGGAAGCTTGCCATCCCTTAGAGTCGCACCTTAGCCAGTGAGCAGGGCGATTTGAAGGCCTTTGTGCATATTCCTTGGGTGAGACAAATATTCCTTAAGTCCAATAGAGAAAGATAAAAGAATATAAAGATTATTTATATATTTTCGAGTTTGAGTTGGCCAGTGAGCCATAGCATCAGCCAGTGAGCTGCAGAGTCGGCCAGTGTGCTATAGAATTCGGCCAGTGCGCCATTAATCTCAGAACACAGAATATTTCAAGTACCAAGACGAGCAGTCATCGTTAATATACTTTATTTGCTCCCAGACCTATTATATATTCGCTAAGTCGAATTGGATAGCTTGAATACCTTTAGAATTGAAAGAACAAGTCATATATTCAAGCTTCTGGCTAGAATATTTGCACACTTATCAGAATATTTGAACTTCATACCAAACTAGTCGGTTTGCAGAGGTCTTCTATCGATCTCGAAACACCCGAACTTATATATTTGGTGATTGTGAAGTGCAAGGATTGCTTAGGGTTGAGTATATACGAGTTTCACTCGCTGTATATTCGATCTAGGTTTTTCCCTGCACCATTACCAAGCACATCACCGGGCTTAATATCCTGAGGTCATTGAGTGAGACTAAGCTTGACAAAGATATCTGTTGCTAGAGTAATGTTGAGAAACTGGCCATCTTTCCATCAAGCTTGATGATCATCAACCTCTGCATTGATAGCTCAAGATACGATGTTGTACCTAGCCAGTGAGACACAGGAATTAAACAGGATGTACCAAAAGGGATGGCAGATTGGAGACTAGAAATCATCTTTAAAATAGGATCTTACCAGGAATGATGTATTTATCGAGAAGGGAGAAGGTCATATCGGGTGTTATGAAAAGTCCAAGATCAGTACAGCCCATGTCACATCACACCTGATATCATACCAAATTAGGACTGACATCAAACATTAATCACATCCTTCGTTCAATGTACTGGGTTGTTTCTAGTACTCCATTGCACAGCAACACTAAAGTATGTGTGCAATTTGACTATAAGATGCTTCTTGCATCATAAATGAGCCCTACTGCTGAACATGATTGTGCTGGTCTAGCCTTTGTTCCATATATGGTAACCTTTGATGTGACCTAAGGAAAGGGGAGAGAGTAACTCACTGAAGTTATGTAAATTCCTTCTGATGCCAAATGTCTTACTGAAGCATTATATCGTATCCCTGCATCATCTGTGAAAATATGACTTTCCATTTTGAAAATTAGTAGATCAAGTCTGAGGCAAGCTGGCATGTGATTGGTGCTTCTGAGAAACTCTCTCACTGGCCAATTCATTCTCATTGGCCCATACAACACTGTAAGTATGAATTTGGGGCGATCCAGTTCCTGACTTTTCGGAGTTTGAATCTCCAGCCCAATGCCATTCAATGCCAGGGTATTTTATCTGTGTTTGCTTTTGCAGTGAGTGTATTCAATGGTGATAGGCTGTCAGCAGCTACAATTTAGATATTGCTGGAGCATGATTTACAGTACATGGACTTCTCAATTTCTTCTCAAGAGGCTGAAGCCATTTTTCGGTAGCCAATCAACCTATTTTGGGAAGGAACTGACTAAGCTGGTCATCGAGCTTGATGACAATGAATGCTTTGTTGAAACGCCTGCAAGGTTCCTGCTTTGACCGTGTTTGAGGGGTTCCTTCTCGTAAGGCAGGTATTAAAATGTTCAGATGGCCAATTGCTAGTTGTAGTAAACTAATATTTGAATGTCCTGTAGAACTGTACTTGATGGCAGGATTTTTGACAAAAAATACATACCAACCACTGGGGACAAGAACAAATTTGCATGAATAGGAAATGGGCAGGACCCTGGAGGCATGACCAACAAATCAGAACACTTGCTTCATGCTTGTATAACACTGTTGCTTAAGCACAGCTGGTCATTGACATGTCTGACTGCAATGATCAAGTGCAGGATAAAAAAAGCCAGTTTCTTGCTTGCACTGGGCTACCTGTTGATCTGAACAGGACACTGCACACTACTCTCCCAGTTGTACTTGACTTGTCAGTGGTACTTTATAGGTTGCGTGGCTTAGTCTTTTTTCCTTCTCTCACTGGCCCATTTTCTTCAACAAAATTTCAAGATATATATAATCCATGGCAATGTTTATTTCATTGGTTTTACACATAAATCACATTAAATCTTATGGGTTATACTCAGACCTAGATGTACCTTCACTGTTGTTCTCTGGCTCCTCCTCCTCATCAGATTGACTCATCTCTTTCTCATCCAATGACCCTTCTTCATTGTCTGTCTCATTTCCATCAAAACCACTTGTATCATTGGGTTCAGTGCATTCTGCAGGTTGTCTACTTGTTTCAAACATATCACATTTGTTGTAAATCGCAAGATCTAATTTGTTCATGAGTATAGTGACAAAATTCAAAAATCTGACTTACCCAAGACGTCTTCTTTGTGCCAAACATCAAAAATAGGACAGAGATGCAGGCACTTCTTCCATTCCTTCTTATAGGTGTCCAAAAATTTGTCAGTCAGGACGATGTACAGAAACATATTCAGCAATTTTTTAACCTCATTCTTCATGGATTTCAAAGGACACAGCATATCTGAGCATTCATGGAGATGCATCTGCAGTTTATAGGCCATGCAAGAATAGTAGATCAAGGACCAGCCAAAATGAGCAGCAGAGCTCACAGCAAAATCTCCTATATCCATAGATCAAATGCATGGCAATTGTGCTGCCACCTCATTCTCCAGGGAGGAGAGAAATATCAACTGGTATTGCACCTTCAAGTGCTTGATGAGAGATAGATAGGCACCAGTTGCTGTGGTGATTGCTGATTTGACTGGTTCGGGACTCTCCTCAATGCAAGGAAGCAGTGCGGAAGAAAATATACACAATTTTCCTAAAGAGATTATGTTGAGCAGGCCATTTCTTGTCATTTCAGGAATCTCCAAATATTTGACTGAAATAGTAAATAGTGAGACTAGAAAGTCATCAGGAATGAGAGTGACTTATATTCTTTGTTGCCTTCATGGGTTATAACCTTGTAGAAGTGACACATCATGCAGAGGAGGAGTTTGTGAAGCTCAGGGTGTAGAATATTGGCAATTCTGTATTGAGGCATGCAAGTGTGAATCTAGCTAGTCACATATTTAGCTAACGTCATCATCGCATAGATATGATGTCCTTTAGTGATCAAGTTCTCAAGGGTTAATACCACATGATGTGTATCAGACACATATAACTGCACCCCCATTAGTACATTCTACATGGTAATTGCAGCACACTTACAATGCTGACCCTGGTTCCAGCAGTACCACCTCGGCCTCCCACTCATCTGGACTTGGAATGAAACCAGGTGCCCAGTCTCCCATGTACTCATCTATCATGCTATCTTTGGGTGAACTTCCATGACACTGGAAGATGTACCATAATTTCCTCCCACAAATGACCTCCACAACTGTACCAACACCATGACAATCGCAATGCATGTAGCTGATGGCAC